CTTCTTGTGCAGACACTTTTCTACTAAGCCCCTGTCTTGACATAGCAGAATATGGCCTCCTGAACAGTCTAGCTGAACTCCAACCAACCATGGTTAGGAGTAGTTCGGGAGTAAGGTCGGCTCTAGTTGGCTGGTGTTCGATGAGGTCAACTACTGTTAGGTTTTGAATGTGTAGGTTTTGAATGTGTGACAGGGGTTTTACTTACAAAATGACAACTGTTTCAGGTCCCATGGCCAACCTCCACCCAGGATGGGAACACCCTGTATGAAGTTTGGAGTAAACGGAGCCCTCAGACCAGTGCTTCTGACTCCCCTCCCAAGTAAGTTCAAACCAGACACCAAAAAAAAAAGCCCTCAGAGCCAGAAAAATAATTTTGAATATTGGGATTTTCTTTTACACAACCAGTAAAAACTCTCACCATGCTCACATTTTGTACACCTTCCTCAGAGGATTTGACTGGAGCTATATGCAGCCAAATGTAGGTGGCGCTTTTACTTGGAGAACACAATCCCAATCATGGCTGAGTTTGTATCTCCGCTCGTCTCCATTCATCATTGGGGTTGGCTTCTAAACAACAGTCCAATTGAAATAACTTCTTTAAACAAGAACAACTTAATTACCTTTAACCATGTTGGCCTACATGAATCTACCACAGGCAGGTACTTTTAAATTGAGGTCCCCCCATGCAGTCTGAACATCCTCACTGTCCCCTCCATGTTTGAATTCTGTACCGGATCCCCGGATTGAACTGCCAATTGTTTTCCACCAGGATTTCTCTCCCTGCTGGTGCGAGTGACTATGTGCCATTTGTGAGAAGAGTCGGTGTCCCAATCCTGGACCTTGCAATGGTTCATCGCTACACCGTGAGCACCATGGGAATTATGTTTAATTTTTCTGTTCTATTTTGTTTTTGCTAAATTACACATTTGCATATCTAACTGCATGCATTGTTTTATACTATTAGTATAGTGATGATGCCTCTTAAAACTGTACTTGGTGGCAGCGAGTTCCACTCTGAGTTAGTTGTAGGGAACTGTTGTACATGTAGGAGTTGAACACCTCAATTTTTGGTTGATAACTTTGCAGGCACTTGAAGGCAATTGTATGAGAATTTCTGGCTCTATTCTGAGCTAGTTTCAGATAAAAGAATCTTTTGTATGAAAAAGCAATGATGGTGTGTGTATCAGTTGGTCAATAACAGACTTTAACGTTAACACCTTTTCAATTTGAAAATGATAGTATAATATCATTTTCCACCAGCATTTAAAGATATAGCTTTGGAAAGGACCATGCATTGACACTTGTTAACCCTCAAAGCCCCTAATGTCACCATCATGGCTTTTCTGGCAACTTATTGCTCAATAGATGCCTTATAATGATATGACCAAAATTTGCATGAAAGGTACCTCATTTGCATGCTCAAGACTCTTTGTAATACCTCATTTGCAGATTACGTACCCAAACTTCCCCCTCTACCACACGACCTACGAGACCTTCCACCTCCAGAAGACCTACATCGACCCACACTTCAAGTTCCACCGCCTGATGTCTCAGCTGTGGGGGGAGGTGGCCCTCTCCCTGGCCGAGTCCTGGATTCTGCCCATCGATGTTTCTGAGTACGCAGGCACTGTCCAGGAGATGTACAACTGGCTGGACAATTGGTACCGTGACAAGTTTGAAGGGTCGGCTATCTCACTAGGTAAACTGAAGAAGGAGGGATATGTACCCTTGTTTTATATGTATAGGTTGAAAAAGGGACAGAAGAATACTTTATTCTAGCCGCCCTTAGATACTATGTACATATACTATAATATAGGTTTCTATGAGCTGCCATTTACCATGGGTGTAATTTTGATGCATTCCCCTAGAGGGCGCAGCTGCATAGGCGCCTGATCACTTGTGAGCATCTGAGAAGCTTGATAGAACAGTGACAGTCCAGGTTAGCTTTTTCTGTAAACCCATCATAAATCCCAATGTTTGAGTTGTTTTTAGGAAATAGTGTAATACAGTGGAACATGTACCACCACCTATTCCAGCATCACTGTATCACTAGTCCCGAGTGCAAATGTGGGCATGCATCCAAACGAGACACCAGATCACTATTTATTGCACTGCAAATTTTATAATACTGAAAGGACCAAAATGTTGTTATCCATATCTTGCCTTCATCTTGAAAACATACTCCCTTCCAACCCACTCAACGCAAATGACGCCGCATTATGTACTTTACTTCTTACAGGTAGCCCCTCCGGATCCCTCCCATACCCTACTACGTAACTGCCATATCTTTGAATCAGATATTGTGTTTAACTATATCCACCACTCTGGAAGATTTGACCAATCTCATTAATGTTATGCTATAGGTATTGGTGTGCCAGCCACTTTCATTTTATGTTTATGTTATACTTTATGTCATCTCTATGTTTACTTTTTGTATTATGTTTTATGAGCAGCGGATTCACATAAGCACAACAAGTGCTTTCTATCCAATGCTCAAAAGTCCATGTGAATAAAATTTAAAAATAACATGTACCACCACATTTCAGATGCCCTGCAGTCAGCAGTGGCCAACTTTACCCAGGCAGCGATGATGATTGAAGATGAACTGTCTTCTATGGAAAACAATACAGAGTAAGTAACAAAAAGAAAATCTTGATGTTCTTTCCTACATATTGCCATGTGTCATCATCCTAATCCTAGTCGCTGCTCACATCTGTTGACAATGCGGGCCACCACTGCTTTCCACTCTTTTCTGTCCATTGCTTGTTTTCATTCTCTTTCCCAGGTGTGTTACATGCCCGTAGCCAGGATTTTAAGTGGGGGGGGGTTCTTCCCTGTCGGACTGCTTGAGGGGACTTCGAGCGCCGAGGTTCCTAGGGGGTCCGGGGGTATGCTCCCCCGGGAAATTTTGAAAAATGAACCTTCTGAAATGGCATTTCCTGCATTTTTTAAAGGATTTCAACGAAAAAATCAGAGATAACTTTTTTCAATGACAAAGTGAGCCGTTTTCGTACGGTTCCAGCCTCGCTGGTGACACAAATCAGTCCATTTTTTAAAGAAAAATCTTAGACCTTTAGCCAAAAAGTGGACCTTTGAGCCTTGAGCCTTTGAGTGGGGGGTTCTTCCAAACCCCCCGAACCCCCCCTGGCTACGGGCATGTGTTACCCCCAACTCTTGAAGGTAGAGCCCATTGCCCTGTGTATTTATACATCTAGTACTTCATTTCATGTGTTGCTCCTGTAGCCCACTGGTTGCCCGGATGTACAATGACCAGTTGATGCAGATGGAGAGAGCCTTCATAGACCCACAGGGCATCCTGTACCAGAAATTCTACAGGTATGCACCTATCTATTCTCTAGTACTCTGGTGTTTGCTATACAATTGTATATGCATTTAATTTAGCAAAAAGGATAATGATGAAAGGAGATGGTAATAAACTGATATTTCTCATATGACTACATATTAGATGACTTCAAACATTCTGAATGTGAGGTCACTACGAAACCTACAAAGAAAGTTGGCAGAAGTCCTCCTACCTGGAAACTAGTTGAACTTCTTCGGGCCTGAAAAGAGCCCAGCCAACCCACAATTAACTGGACACCTGTCAAAAGTCAGAGTTAGTCAGTAGTACAGGTTTGACAGTGCTTGTCTTGCTTAGTGACCCTTAGAAATTCAAAGAAGTAAACAAATATCTAAATCAGTTTATTTCTTCTTTGCTTGTAGGTTTCTTGTACTGTACGCTATATTGCTATACCATACTCAGTGTTATATTGCTATACCATACCCAGTGTTATAGGTGTAATTTTGATGCATTCCACTAGAGGGTGCAGCTGCATACTTAAGGTGTCCGCTCTTATCATTTGTGGTGATATGAACAGGGGTATCTTATATCTTGAGGTAATAGCCAGCCCAGGTAGACAGGTCAGATAGACAGCTTACTTTTGTAGCTTTTTTCCATAAACCCCTTGTCTTGTGTGTATTTCAGGCACACCATCCTGTCCAGTGGTCTGTGGGATACTGAGACCTTCCCTGCCCTGGGTGATGCTGTGAGGAGGATGGGCAGTGACTGGACTGATCCTGGCAAGGAAGACAAACTCAAGGAGGTCAAGCAAGAGCTGTCAATCATCACATTCTTCATCCAATCAGCTGCCAACATTCTGGCTAAACCTGCCTCAACTGTGTTTTAAATTGAGAAAGTCACAATGAACAAAGTAGAAATTGCAAAAATGGTGAATTAGTATGAATTAGTGATGCATACCGGTTCACTGGACTTGGATCCGGACTTGTAAGAATGTTTAGGTTCAAGTCCAAAAAAACCTAAAAGTCAAGAACCGAGTCCGGACTTATTACCACAAAAGTCCATTTCACATACCCCTTTTCTTTCCAAACCACCTAAAACCTTCCGTAGATTGCAAAATCTTTGCTTTTAGGTTTGCTTTGGGTTTAGGTATGCAACACCTATAGTATATAGTATGAATTTTTCTTTCAAAAGTTTTTATACCAAGCTTTTAGAATTCAAATGAAAGCTCATCTGTGTTGGTTAAAATTCATAGTTATAAAGTTTAAGCTTTGTCCTAAAATAAATCCGTCGAAAAAATAAACGGACTTCACACGTACGCCAAAAAAAACAACAACAAAAAAACAGTTACTCAGTTACTCACTTTGTTTTGTGCTATTTCAAATGCTTCAAGTTAATAATGAAGTGATAAGGAAAATGTGCTAATAAATGGCAGCAAATATCAGTATCAGACTCATTTCATCATCCAGCATATTTTTTGCCGCCCTGAAATTGCATTAGATGGAATAATTGTCTTTGATTAATACCTATAGAACATAGGAACAAAACTCGGTATGACACTGTGAACACAAAGTGATGGAATGCACGTGGTTCTCACTCCACAAATATCGTCTATTTGGCCTTGTTTACAATCTGAAGACGTGACGAAGCTTCTGTACCGCGTGAAAAACATGTGGCGAGGTCGTGTGATGTAGCCATGACCTCTGTCAACAGCTGGGGACACCACAGGGGCCATTTTCACACTTGGAATCCGGACTGTTACCATGGCCTACATAGCCTAGTCTCTACCCGACTCCTTTGCAGGCTGAATAAAAAGTAGAAATCGGCAAAGGGAGCAATCATTGGCCAGAGGAGTTGGCCGGCAAGCTGGACCCCCTATGGCCGGCCAACTCCTCTGGCCAATGATTGCCCCCTTTGCCGATTTCTACTTTTTACAAACCTCTCCACGCAGAGGTTTGGGTTTTGGCTTATTTTTTTGTGTGTCTTCAGGCTTTTTATCGTGATTTCTTTTTTGCACTGGAATTTTTTACGCCTCCTGCGCAAAACTTGAGAAACCGGCGAAAAAAAAGCCTAGAAACACACCAAAAATACATGTAAGCCAAAACCCAAACCTCTGCTTGGAGAGAAAGCATCACCATATAGGAGCCATATTCATATTGGAATCCAGACTGTTACCATGGCCTACATAGCCTGGGTGCCAGACTGTAGCCAGGAGTAATGTACAGGCTAGCTCCTCAACTATTTTAAATTTTAAATAGAGACATACCCCCGAGGAAAAAATGCTCAGCCCAATAAAAAATCACCGAGGTGGTCTTAGTTGGCCAAGTTTAAGCGAGGATAAAAGCGAATACATGTAGATTATAGTGTCGATGAAACTCGCTATGTAGCCAATATGTACGCCATGTTGAGAAAAAAAAAACAAAGTTTACAGAACATTTCACTGAACCTAAGATTATTATTAGATTACTCTTTATTTGTAAAACCATGCCCCGAGGCTAATTGCATGTACAGCGTCAAATCATTACTAGTATACCAAATGATATTGATCATACATGCGTTACTTTGCCTTACAAATCGTCCGTATCTATTTTATAGTTGATCATGACCCTAGCTACATGTTGGTTTCGCGCAGCAGTATGCTGAATAAAAGATACATCTTTCTGCTTATAATACAACCCTGAACGTTAGTTTTCTCTTCCGATTTATAGCCTCGGTCAGCAGGCGTTTGTTTGGCCCTTAAAATACGACAAAAAAACGAACTCAGTCTCCATCAGACTCCTTTGCAGGCTAAATAAATAGTATGAATCGGCCTAAAACATGGGAGTTGGCCGGCCAGAGAGGGTCCATTTCCTATTCAGCCTGCAAAGGAGTCTGGTGTAGACTAGAACTCTCGAAAGTGTCTCTAATGCGGAAAAACAGGACTCTTCTTCGGCCCAAAGTTTAGTCCAAATGTCGCAAAAACACGGATGGCTGATACTTACCACATATATAACCGATGACCTAATTTCCTCCACAGAAAATGTGCTGACTTGAATATTTTCGCTCCCGAGTACATCAACAACCAAAGGGTCACAAGTGATGACGTCAATAACAGATGTCCCGCTAAGACGTAACCAGCCATGCGTTGTCATGGCAACGTACGAGCTGTTCAGTACCTTACCAACCCTCAAGGTGCCGAAACATCGTCCTTGACACTTGAAGCACGATTGCTTGTCTATTAAAGGCCCGAAGGGAATACATATTATACATTCCCTAGCTGTGAGAAGGGTTATAGTTGGTCAGCACTCATGGTCCAAGGGCTTTGAACAACATATCACTCACATAGTCACTGTGCAATGTATGCGTGCGGTTGGACCACAACATGTTTTGCCCCCAACAGAGATTCTACATGTTTTCATGGTATGTGAGCGTGTGAGGCACGTAGTGTCAGGATGGTTCGTAAATTAGTGATGGTCATGGTCACGTATACTAAGTACTAGTAATCTCCAAGCAGATGTTTTGGTGGTTGCTACCCTGGGTGCCAGACTAGTATCGGGCCTTTAGCCGTTTTCCTTCGGCAGCCAAGAGCCATTCGCCCGCCTATCTAAATTAACGCTACGGTGGGGTTGAGCCCACGGGGGGAGTTTGGCCGGCGAAGGGCTCTTGGCTGCCGAAGAAAACGGCTATTAAAACGGCCCGATACTAGTCTGGCACCCAGGGTAATATTTTGGTGGCTACGGGACAGTATGAAATTGGCAGGCTGTATCCGTTTGCAATCGTTTGATTTGACCCTTGAAACAGTCTGGCATCCAGGCTAACAACAGCTCTCCACTGTTTACCTCATGTGTTCCGCTTGGACTCAGACGGGGTTCATTCATCACTAGAACTGCTGATAAGTACACAGTTTAGACAAACCCAATTAGGCCATGTTGATTTGATTATATGGATGACATCTTCTTTGAACCCTAAAACTGATGCGAGCGTGCGAATAAAAAAAGTTTGGCAAAAAAAGTTGCCTTCATTATCATCATGAATCTACGTGGTCATAAAGGTTGAACAAAGGACTAAACACACAGAATGATATTTTATTGGCATGGTGAATAATAGACTCAATTTCATTCCTTCACATTTTCTTCTTATCCTTTGGAATGGATTTTGGCATTCTGCGACATAAGTATCGTTTTCCATTTTTTTCCAATTTACGGCATATATTTGCTCCGTTTTGCAGCTATACGTTTGTACGATCGAAAACATTTTTCTTGGAAACGGACGAAAATTCATGCGCGCGTGGATGTCATCCATATGATTAAATCAACATGGTCTTTAGGAGCAGAGTTCCGGGCGTGCCTTGCAGCAAAAACCCAAGCGTCCTTGTAGACGCGTGTCACCTCTGTATGGACTATGGCAATAGTGACATACTATATCTGCTTGATTTATGTCATTGTGCCATAAGGCAGGTAAGTTAGTGCCAAAAGAACCCATTCTTGGACGTTCTGAACGTAGGGGTCTTTATTGTTGGTGTGATGGTGTTGTTTAATACTAGCCTCTGCCATGCCCTACAAGGCTTCGGAAGCGGCTGGAAAGAGTAGAAAAATGGCCAGATAGACAGGGGACATGCCAGGGGAGTTTCGAACAGAAAGCGGCAACTTATACTAATTTATGCTTAGGTCACATTTCCAAACCGGGGCCCGGCCAGGCTGTTTTAGTTAACGAAAAATCAATAATTTATATCAATATTATACTCAGATAGTTCCCATTATTATTTAGTTTTTCACCTTTTTTTTGCTTTGTTGTCTTTTATATCACACTTTTCGTTCCAAAAGACTGCCCGGCCGGGTCCCAGTTTGGAAATGTGACCTCAGCATTAGCGGACCAACTCCTCTGCCTTGTTATCTTATATCTGTTCAATTTCAACTCCTTCCACCGCTTCCGAGGCCTGGTAGAGCGAGGCTACTTGTTTACGGCCGGATTCATGATTAGACTGGGTAATTTTAGACGACTTCCTGCCCTGCAATTACGTACGTGGCTATCACTGATTTTTAAGACAAAACACGGTCCCACCGGGAAAATCCATTTTCACCTGTCAAAAGTCCCACTGGAGACACTATCAGATAACAGCTGGTTTGGACGCATTATCGAAGTTTAATCGCGTGGTCTACAAGTCTATGATTATACAACACTCTCATAATGAACACACTAGACTGTCATCTCATCTTGAAGTCCCCACCTGAAAGCAACGTTCGCTAGTTCAAAAACAGTAGTTTGTTTTAAAGCTCGCCGCTACCAGGCTTCGGGGGTACTTCTTTTAATATAGTGAACCAACTCCCCCAAACCTGGCATGTTATCTAATTATTCTAGGAGGTTATATTTGACCAATTTCTACTCTTTCCAGTCCCTTTTAAAGCTTGGTAGACCGTAAAGGATATTCCTATTCCTGTGCAATTCGGAAGGGATCGCCCAACTCGAGCTCTCCTAGCCATTTTTGACGAATTCTACGATCTGTAGTGCCGCGTAGGAAAGCCTGGTTGAGGCTACCGGTACCGTTCAGATCTCACGTGCGAAAATAGTGGATGCCAGACCCCATTTCGACGCAATACCCCCTTCGGGTAGGGAAAGCCACAAGCCCAGATCCTCAGTGTTAGCACCTGTCTATTTAGTCTATCTGTGGGGGTGCCTATGTTAAAATTTTCGGAGCAGAGGAGCTAGCCTGTATATAGCCCCTTAGCCTCTACCAGGCTTCGGGAAGCTGCTGGAAAGAGTAGAAATCGCCAAATTGGCAAATAGAGAGATAACATGTCAGGGGAGTTGGTCTGCCAACATTTTGTCTGGCATGTTATCTCTCTATTTGGCCGATTTCTACTCTTTCCAGCCGTTTCCCGAAGCCTGTTAGAGGCTAGAAGCCCCTGGCAACAGTATGGTACCCAGGCTAGTGCGAGAAGAGAGGGCACGAAAATCGGGACACGTCAATGGGAGATAAAGCGTTCTCACGGCCTATTACATGTACATGTACTAGCCTTGACGACATACAAGTATCTGACAAGGCCTGGTTCCCAGAGTGCCGTGTATTGATCCGTGTATTGAGATGAGTGCGTGTGTTTCCACGGGGTTGCATCATCACAGAAATCAAGAATTCAGAGCACAACACGCGATGCAAAACGGCTACTGCGCCTGTGCGTTCCGAACAAGAAGGCCGAAAACAACCAACTACGGATACTCATTTATATCATATGTCACCAGTATATATAATGTTTGTCGAATTCAGATCGACATGACAAGATTTTATCCTGCTTGTACACACACGTATTACGTGTATCCTAGTCAGTAATTTGACCACCTTGACCCCGACCGCAACATAGCCTGGATGTCAGACTGTTCCTTAGTACTAGGGCAAATACACATGCTCATGATAGGCTCATGATACCCCAGTTTCAGACCCTGTTGTTGAGAGGGGACATGGGGATGATGTTTTTGCCCTGGAACCTTGGAGCTAGCCTGTACACTAAGTACTGGCCCTGGCAACAGTCTGGCATCCAGGCTAAAACAAGTGTCGTGGCTATAATAAAATCTTGAACGACAAACAAAAACATGAATCGAGAACACGACATTCAAAATGCGGACGTCACACGTATATAAACTTCCTTGACAGAAGTGAGTGTCGTCCTTGACTGTCACCGTGCTTGGCGTTAGTAGTATATTTTTCCTATCTGTCATTCTGACTCCTACAACGCTGTACGGCTGAGTACTATTCACTGGAAACCCTGAAGGTACGTACTAGCACGCCATATTCATGTATGGGGTCCTGAGCAAGACCTGTATCATGATCTATGATATATAGCCTAGATACGTCCATGAAGGTTAGCCATTCAGGTAATACGATACGCCAAAAAGCAGTTACTCAAGCAACTGGATATGATTTTGGAAAATTACTCAAGCAACTGGATATGATTTTCCAAAATCATATTCAGTTGCTTGAGTAAATGCTTTTTGGCGTATAGCCTAGCTAGAAAGGTATGGTAATCTTTAATACTGTTGCTATTGCACGAATCTATACCATGCCGATTGATTGATCCAATGTGGTTTATTCACATGTATTTATTAAGTATACGGCAAAAAGCACAGATTTCTAATACGTGACGCCTTGTACTCAAAACATGTGGTTTAGAACAAGGACATTGACATTTTTATAATGTCAGTGTTTAGAGTTAAACCTCCTCTGTAGCTGATCGATGTCAGTGTATGTCCGCTTCGTTGAAGTCCTCAAAATAACATTTAATAACTAGGGGTCCGGGTGTTTCATCATATTCCTATCGCCTGTCCCAACCGGTTGAATGAGTGTGCAGATCTATATGTCACTCAAAAGCCTCTGAGTACGCTGAGAGGCATTGCATCATTCATTCTACACATTGGGACCATAATACGTGGATGACTACGGTAGGTACAAGCGAGCTGTGTGATTTTCAAATGTCAAAGTATGTTTCTAAGTTCTAACAGGTATTTTGAAGCTCATATTAGTTCTAACACGAGGTATATTATCATCATTGCTAGGTACATACTCTGTGTGCAACATGTAACGTTAGCATACGTAGAAAATGTGTTGTAGCATGTTGTATGAAATTCCTCTGAACCGTAAAAAATCATAATACATGTAGAGCTACATAATGATAAGAGAATGTGATATACAGAGAGAGATATGATATGCAATAATATCTCCATAACTATCATTGCTTCAATTTTTCTTCTTTTTTTTCTTAAATTTTACTATAATTGCTTAAATTTTTCACCACCCCCCTCCAAAAAAATAGCCTCATTCAATACATTGGCCAATACATCCATAAAACTCCAAACCTGTTGCAATGAGGTCGAAAAAAGTCTTTCTTAAAAACACTTTCTTAAGATTCTCTTAAACCTCCTTGCTGGAACTTCGCTGGTGATATGAGTGAGGATACAAAGACACGTTCTTCTAGTAGACATGTTCTGGCTTTCGTTGATATATTATAAGGGGGGGGGGGTCTTGCGATTCCCTGTGAAACAAAACTAGAAACGGTGTTGCCAAACAACCCATCGTTCACTGCACCGTGTTTGCAATTGCTAAGCTACGAATGTTCTATGTGTGGAATGCACTGTGCAGATATCTATTATAGGCACTCGTCTGCCTAAAGCATTATAATCACTAACCGACCACCTGTGCATTTCTCAAGCATAGTAAACAATTGTGGTTTTGTAGCCTCGCTACAAGCCTGGGTACCAGACTATCATTTTTTTAAAATCTCAGCTGGAAGGAGAAACGTTGATAAAGCTATCAGCCCTGCATCGAGCCTGTGTACCAGACTATCCTTTACATATTTTCATCTCAGCTGAAAAGAGAAACGCGTGAGACTTTTTTTGTCCAACCCATGAGCCCCGTGCTACGAGCCTGGGTACCAGGCTATCCTTCTTTTCATCTCAGAAGGAGAAACACACGGTTAGAGTTTCGTTAAAGCATCAGCCCTGCTACGAGCCTGGGTACCAGGCAATTCTTATTGCAAGACTTTTGTTGTTAAAGCTATCAGCCCTGCTACAAGCCTGGGTACCAGGCTACCATTATTTTCATCTCTACTGAAAGGAGAAACGCGCAAGACTTTTGTTGGTAAAACCATGACGTATTTTCTTGACAGTTTGTACTGTGTCTAAGTTGACGAAGGCCTTGTCATGTATCTAGGACGGTCGAGTCCTGAGAGGTCGTATCCAGAATAATTTGTCAAGGCCCAAATTACGGATGGTGTTTGGTATGAGGGATGAGGGTAGGGTAGCCTCTACAAGGCTTCAGAAGCGACCGGGAAGATTAGAAATTACAGATAGTCAGATAAAATGCCAACAAGGAAGTACAATTTGGGAGCGGCAAAATGTGTCATAAATAAATAGAATAATTGTACTCTTTTCATATCTACTCCTTCTAGCCACCTCTGAAGCCTGGTAGAGACTAAGGTTAAGTACAATGTATACTGCTTGGGGAAATCGTCCAGAAACTTTACCCGAATATAAACAATATAATAGATAAGTTAAAGAGGGTTGTTGACAGCCTTTCTTCCGGTTGAACTAATTATGAATATGAGGTCGAACTTTTGGTAACGAAAACCCAAATTACAGATTACAAGCCTGAGCTTTGTTGGCTTTTCTGGGGTTGACAAAAATAAACAGCAATGCAAATAGGACGTATAGGAATATCAGGTATATTTCTGAGTACAGTAGTTCTTTTTTTTAATCTCCCAGCACTCCGCCTTGTTTGTTTTCCCTAAGAAGTATAAACAGTGCAACTTGATTAGAAATTCTTGCTCAAGGGCTTGTTCATCATCAAGCAATTTTCCATATGTGGTAGCCTGACAAATGTAGCCTGGGTGCCATCCGAATTTGTAACGGCTACCCCGAAAAATTTTTCGGTAGCCGTTACAAATTCGGATCCGGATGGCACCCAGGCTATGACAAATGTATGCAGCTTCTTTCGCGCCATATACATGATAATAGATGAGCGGTATCGGGGTGCGAAATCTGTGTGATCATACCGATAGTTAATCTCCAAGCAGATGTCTGGTGGAAAGAATTGTTTTTCTTTCTTATCAGCTGCCAGTCCTCTCCATCTCTTAGCCTGGGTACCAGACTACTGCCTGGGCCATTATATATAGGCTAGTTCCTCGGTTCGCTGACCCTTCAGTTGGTCCTTTTAAAAGTAGGATCCAACTGAGTGCTGGCCTGTGCATAATGGTAATCTCCAAGCAGATCCCTCTCGGTGGCAAAAAGACAGTATCAAATTGGCAAGGCAGTATCCATTAGCCAGAGAAGGTCCGCGGCCACCGACGGTTGGTGGGGATCAGGACAAAAAAACAACGGCCATATATAAAAAGGTAACGATCATTCCCCCACAACCTCTGCTTGGAGAGTACATAATGACCCTGGGAACAGTCTGTTAGCAAGGCTATCTACTAATCTCCAAGCAGATCTTTCGTTGACTGCAAAGACAGAATTGGCCAGGCAGGCCGCGGTATCCATTTGCCAGTCAGTTACCATAGTGATTGAGGACTCTCTCTAGATGGCCAGTTCTATAATGACCGTAACGCTTTTGCCACCAGACATCTGCTTGAAAATTAGCTAGCTACAGTATCTACTGTCTCCATACTCTATGTGAACAGAGGAGTCAGAAAAACGGCTTTTCGCACTGCGATTTTGCCACCCAAAACATCTCCTTTGATAATCAGTAGTCAGACATATTTCCTATATCCAGCCATGTCCGGTATGTGAGACTGTGTGGCCCGTAGACGAATGAATTTGAGCACGAATTCTGGTCACAAACAACCCTGTCTCCGACTATAATACCCCTCAGGTCACGTGATCATGGGATGATGCAACCTCAGCAGCCACGGCCCACCTTTTTATGCATAATGCTTAATGGCAGGAAAAATGTGCCGTACCCGTTACATAGGCAAACCATATGTACGCTTAAACAACCCGAAGCAGGTATAGAATTGCTCATATACAGATATTTAGCCGTTTTTATATATTTCTGTTTATCTGAATGTGCCCAGGTGTCAAGAAACGTATTCAAGGCAGAAAAGAAGGGGCATACTGGGAGGAATTACGTAATCTTAAGCACAACTTTCCTCCCACTAAGGGAGAGGATTTCCTTTGTTAGCGATCAGCTGATAGCGGGGGCCGCTGCCAGCTGATCACTCGCCTCACTTTCCGACGGAAAGCCCGGGTCGCTGTTGCCTCTCCCCAGGACGCTGTGGCCAACGGCCGGCGGACCGAAGGATGCAGAGAAACTCCAGCTCCCGTAAAAACATCTACCACTAGCAGCGCCTCTCAACAGTCACCGTAAGTGTATTGTGAATGCGTTTATTTTTTCGGCGTTGTTTTTTTTTCTGCTCGCTTTCTTTTATCGCCAGGGCACGCCGGTGCGCTAGCTATCTTGTTTGTTAGCAGAGTCTCCGGTTTCTGTCAGCAAACCGTGACTAAAGGTTGCATCATACGGCGTGTAAGCTGAAAGCACCGTGCTTTAAAACATGCTGCTAGCTGCGCCGCAGTCCTTCAATTCGTTTTGCATGACTCCTCGAGTAGAATTCAGTTTCACATGAGAATTAAGAACGTTTCTTTAAGAGGTCACGAGAGGACCTCTCATTGTTCCTTAGATCTTGCATATATGGCAGTGAGGTCCCTCTCAAAACAGGAAACAACATCTTGTGAGCCTATGCATAGTACATCTACATATCATATAAATGGCCATAGATGTGTAGCGATCTAAATATTACTTTGCGTCCATTTTAAAGACTTTTACGGGCTGAAAATGATGATGGGCCATGCAATGTACTATAGCTTTATGATTCACAGAAACCGTTAAAAATCGGCTGTCAGAAAACTTTTTGTGACAAATATTTGAGTCTTGTAGAAAAAAACAACAACATGTTATGTTGCCATAGACTACATATCGTCCCTGTTGCATCAGTGTGTGAGATTCTGGTACGTACCACGTAGTTTGGCTCCCGAGTAGTACGATGTGTTCAACTGCACGCGATTTTTCAGAACTGGCCTTGGAACAGAGGGAGGCGCATACATAATCTGTTTACGTGACCCATTTTTTTCCTCAGTACGACCCCAGGGATTAGGGATAGAAGGAGTCCTGTCAAATGGTAAATTCTTCATGGCGGAAAATAATGGATAATTTGAACGGTCGTCCTGGGAGTGGGGAGAATTTGTACACGCTGGTTGGACCAGTATGTATGATAGATGCGATTGTTGTTTGTGCCGTGCTCACTTTTTTTTAAAATGTAGAAGGTACCACTACTCTTCCCTTCGCGGGGGTTAGGGTTGTTTTTATCGCTTTCTGGCTTGATGCTCTGAGACGAAGGCAAGCGGATTGTGAGATATTGGACAATGGTAAGGAATGGAAAAGAACGTATTGAACTGACCGGTCGTTTACAAAAAAATTCAGTGACAAAAGAGAAACCCCGATAAAAAAGCCTAAAAACACGCTAAAAATACCCCCAAAACCCAAACCTCTGCTTGGAGAGTAGTCGTATCGTACTATAGCAAGTCGTGTTGTGTAAATATACCTTTATAGCTGGTGGTTTGAATAGATCTAGACTTTTGCGGGTGTTCCTGCTTGGACCCTTTCGGTTACGGTAAACATATGCGTTGCAATATTAATACTCAAGAGCGCGTTGGAGTTGGTTTTGACTCTGGCAAAAACAGTAATAAAACTCTCCATAGCTATGTTTAGGATTATTGGACGGTGATTACAGCTAATCGGGCCAGGTGGCCTGTACTTGCCCGGGCATGACTCACTCACGTCACGGAAGAGTAGTTCTCTCAAGTTACACCGGCTCTGTCCCTCACTTGTGCAATGCTGACTCGGCGCTTTCTTTCTGCATAGTATTTCAATGAGTTGCGTACACATTTTGTGTATTTCACATCGCTGAGAAACCTAGAAATCGAACATAAAACGTTTTCCTGACTTTTTGAGTTAGAATCGTTTCAGGGTAGGTAAAAACTAGACGATTGTCTAGAATGGTGATTTGACGGTTGCAAGGCAAGATATAAGGTAATAACTAAGAATTAATGCATTTTAGTACGACTTTTCAATGGGTATTTTCAAGAAGCTTTAGATATTGTCACAACATTGCTAAATGCCCACAGTTGGTCGCCTGTCAGTCGCAAGAGATGTTTATCGGTATTATACCGACCACAGGTAAGCACCGTGGAAAACCACTGCTGCTGTCTTTGGTTTCCGTCACAGTTTTGACAGACGTTGCCTGGCTGTTGTTATTCAAACACAGGACCTTGGTCTGCCCTAGGCTATCTTTCCATTCATTCCTCTTCACCTGACATGAATTCCGTATTGGGGAACAGTTAATTACAGTGGTTCAAATTGGTACAAGGAACAATTTTTGCCAAAGCGACAAATTTTGCAACAATGCCGCTTTGTAGTCAGTCGTGAAGAAAAATGGGATAATATATGGATTGAGTCATGTTGATTTAATGTGCATATTTAAGGTTTCTTTCATGATTTAAGAAAAGCGCTGACATTTTGCTGAAGTGAACAACTTCTTGTCGGGTTTGGATTCTGTAAGGCTTTTTATCATACCATTTAATCCTTTTTTCATAGTACTTTCGTTAAAGCTAATCATAAAAACAAAATGTTTGTTGAATTTTTGGAATTTTTTTTTTATCTTATCGTTCATCCCCATCCCTAGTTTTTCATTGGACTGGCCGAAATGTTCCGTACGCTGTTTTCGCGAAAACAACCCGCTCCCTGGAGCCTCCAGGCAAATAGCCAATCCTGACCGCGGAGACGTCATGCGCTATTTTTAGACGCTGTTGCTAGGGCCTCGGTGGGCGTTGGAGGAAGGCAGCTCGCGCATTGGCCGAGGGAGGATCTGCCCATATTTACTAGTAAACCTTCAACGTTTGAAGAGCATCCACATCCGTGCGTTTAGTATATTGACTATCAAATAGTGGGCTAGTTATAAAACGTCTTCTGTTTTTGCAATTACATAATATGAATCTAGAATTTGAAATATCTGTTCCTCTTTTTTTCTTCACTCATCGTATATGGAAAACCAGAGAGCTAATGCCTTCTTATAAGATCTCATAAGCCAAAATCGACATGCATTTAAGCTTGTCTTCGCCGTGCAATGGAAAAATATGAATACCTGTTTATTGATCTGTTTTCGCAGAAAATTCATGTCACCGTCACGCAAGCATTTATTTAGCCTATCACCATGACGACACATCATGAATATCATTTAGCTGAGGGGCAAATCGTTCCCGCAAAGCATCATGGGTATTTCTCCTTTTGCCGGATCCCCCTAGTAACAACTTAAACAAGGCTAATTTGTGGGTTTCAGGCCAAAAGGGGATAAAAAAAGCACGTAAAACAAAACGGCTGTTTGGCGGACGCATCAAATCCCCTGGCGAGCCCACTCCATAATGATAACAGCAGGTGTCGTGTACTCTTATCATTTAATCCGAGTGACCAGCTGGCTTGATGATCCTCCCCTGGCCTGGATTTGCTGGACACTTGTTTTTCTTTGGACGGAGCGCCAAGGACATAATATCCTTGGGATCACGCAGTATATTCGAAACGAAAGCCAGCGTACCTAATCCGTTATTTCTCTACTTCAATGAACTGGGCTATTTAAATAAATTCATCAACTGAAAAATTATTCTAATAGTACCTGGTCGAGAACATAGTGCACAACTGCAATTGTATTTTGTTTGTTATAAGGAGAAGAAAAAAGAAAATGACTTGAAAAAACACACAACAAATAAAGAAAAATAAGAATAATTTCAATAAAGACCACTAACGCTCATGACCGTTCTCGATAAATGTCCGTTTTTGCATGTTTTTCAAACCAGTACTAATAAAAGTTCACAAAAAAAAACAACCTTTTATTGAATCGGATTTCCATTCTAGATTTTCCTGTCATGCAATAGCCATATACCGTATAAACCCGTAGCGTAATATGCTATTAATCTCCAAGCAGAGGTTTGGGTTTTGGGTTATTTTTGGCGTGTTTTTAGGCTTTTTTATCGGGATTCTTTTTTGCACTGGATTTTTTGGGGGATGGGTAAAAAAGAAATTCCAGTGAAAAAAAAGAAAGCCCACTACAAGAAAGCCTAAAAATACGCAAAAATAACTCAAAACACAAACCTCTGCTTGGAGAGTAATGTGCTTTGTGGATTTCTTATTTTCAGTTATTAACCTATCGTTTTCTTTTTTACTGTTTTTCAGGCAACCTGATGCAAGAAATTCCAACAAGAACCACCGTCACCACTCCTTACAACTTCATCCTTGTTTCCGCGCGCTTTCTGTAGAGTCTTCTCTCATCTCCTTCGTTTGAAAGTACAAGAAGCCGCCCCCCTCCCCCCTCCAAGATGGCAGAGAAGAAGAAGTTGGATCATCACCAGCAGGTCCCGGATGGAGGGTACGGCTGGCTGGTGTGTTTCATGGCGTTCATCTCCCAAGGCGTTCTGTTCGGCATCCAGAACTGTTTCGCCATCACCTACTCCGCACTCACCGACAACTTTCCTGACGCTAACGCTTTCACCATAGGTGGGTACACTTCACTGCCTGCTTTTAATAAAGTCCGTGTCAAACTTTACAATTGTAACAGGTACAATGTATTGCAAGCTCTTCAGAAGTACTACATATGTACAGTAGGTAATATCTACTCTCACGTCTACAGTAATACAGTAGTTCTATGTATAACAAGTAAAATCTGAGATTTTATACCTCCGGGCTTTTTATTGTATATTTTTATAAAGGGTTTTAAACAAAGAATTTATCGAGACCGGACACCCCTCTGTGTGAGGGGTCATATACGTGGACCAGACCGAGAATAGCTTAAACACGCCAAAGGTCAACGGTCGCGACCACTTTCACGCTCAAAGGGATGTTTTGGGGCCACCAAAAAGGCACCATTATCACGCCCAAAAACACATTATACAATAAAAACAAAAAGAACGTGCATCATCTGCAGCCCAATAGCAAAACATATACCGAGTTCCAAAAGAATCCGTCCACCCAAACGCGAGAAACAGCTGCAAACATGAAAATCTAAATCTCTCACAAAACCCTTCCGCGGAAGGATGTCTCCTCCCCCGGAGGTAAAAACTAACACTATGCTATTTCGAAAAGGTGATATAATATGTATGGAACATGGCTTACATGATTAAATACTGGAGTTCTACATAACTACAGACTAGAGTGTAGATCAGTTGGATAGTCGGATATAGTATAATTTCTTTTAACTAAAGCGTTGGATATATATTGGCCTATGATATTATATCTGTATTTGTATAGCCGGTACAACCGCCTTTTGGCGTAACGCGCCAGCTTCACAGGCACGCGGCGCGGCGGCAGCTACCTACATTACACCGAACGACCTGTTACACCTATCTTTGGCTTTGCACGTCTATTAAACTAGGAGTTCTAGTGACGATGCCCCAACTGTACTTGATGTCAACGAGTTCCACTCTACGATAGTTCTTGGAAAATACGAGTTTTTGAACACCTCAATTCTTGGTTGATAACTCTGATATTTGAAGGCATGAACTTGCAAGGGGAGAAAAGCAAGAATGGTGATAGCCTTCTCAATTGATTTCGTTTCAATATCTTTCGGCATCACCCAATGCAAGCCAGGTGCAAGTCAGTATACTACTAGTACCGTTATACATGTAGCTGGTTGGTAATACATAAACGACCTAAACTGATGATGCATATTCTACGCGAAATTCCCCGAGTCCCTAGATGTTAATACACTATGCGGTATTTCGGTCGGAGCACGAGAGACTGTTAGTCTCCACCAGACTCCTTTGCAGGCTGGATAAATAGTAGAAATCGGCCTAAAAGGGGATTTAATCGGCCAGAGGAGTTGGCCGGCCAGAGAGGGTCCATTTGCCGATTTCTACTATTTATTCAGCCTGCAAAGGAGTCTGGTGGAGACTAGAGTTTGAACAAAAAATCTCCAGTCGGGTCACTGACCTGTCTGTTCCTACTGACCTTACCCTGCCACCAGTCTTGTTGACCGAAGTGTTTAGTCCACACACCTGGCCCTTTATTGCACCCCTTCAGATAACATGATAGACTGGACACACACTGATAAGCATATTTGCCACGAGAAGTAATAAAACGGCCAAAACAACCGCATGTTACCCACACAAAAGAGTTGCTAGGGTAGAGGTATAGTCTGTTGTTACGTCCTTGAAAAACAGCTGGGACCTTGCGTGTCCAGCCTAGCAATGAGCATAGCAATGAACAGTAGTAAAGGCGTTACGCAAACATGCAAAACACGCACTCTATCTCGTTCGAACATGCACTTGAAGAACCACACTCTTTGATGCTCTCTTTGGCTCTTAGGCTTTGGCGTATTTTTAATAACAGGCTTTTTTTATCGGGCTTTCTTTTTTTGCAATGGTATCTTTTTTACGCCAACACCAAACACCAAAAAAGACCGATAAAAAAGCCTAAAAACACGCCAAAATTAAGCCTAAGCCCCAAGCCTCTGCTTGGATAGTTACTCTTTGATTGAGCATATCTGAAACACGTTATGCTTCATGTTTCACGTTAACTGGGGTACGTGGCAGTCAGCCAAACCACTACGGTTGCCTCTGTCAACGCTAATGCGGGCATGATAGGCGTAAGGTAAATCTCTTGTGGTTTTGCGGTTAGTGCTGGTATTCAGGGTTTCCCCGTGCACAAGTACTAATTCTTGCCGCTGGCTAGCCTCCGTAGCAGGCTTATAGAACTGTGGGTTTGGTGGTCTTCGGCTGTTTTCTGATTAGCCCAGTTCTAAACGGGGTTAATTCAACCAGGCCGGCTATGTTGTCTATATGCAATCAGAAAATAGCACATAAAAGCTCCCAAAGACCCTGAAGACCCCCAAAACCCCCAGTTTCTGGCATGCTATGAAGGCTAGCCGCTGGCCATTCATACATATGGATTCCCTCATTATAATTGGCGGTTCTCAAAGGTATTCCAACTCCCCATAGATCACACAAAAATTGTAATTAATTCATCCCCAAAGTACCCTCCGAAATCACCCATTGTTTTTTGCCCAATCCCTCACCCAGTCCTTCTTTGTAATGGTTTAATTTGAAATTCGGTCTAGCGCATAACTTCTGTCTTGCTAGCAGCGCGTATATTTGAACACATGTGTGGAAGACCTTGTATTCTTCTTGATATGTTGGGCCCTGGTTTGCAAGTAGCCTCTGGTACCAGACTAGCAAGAATAAGCAACGTGAGTTCCAAAAACACTAAAAGTTAGCTAAATATGGAGAATTATTGGCCAGGGGAGTTTAGCTAGAATTCATTTGCCTACTTCCAGAGGGAAAGAAACTCTAATGTTGGACCCACTCCCCTGGCCAGTCAAACCATATTTTTGCCGAATTCTACCATGCTAACCCCTTAGTTTGCAAACGTGTGGCTGGGCCAACGTTACGGAATCTGGTAACCTTCAAAGACTCTTCTCGTTTTCTGACAGTAAAAAAAATGGCCAAAACTGTCATACATTCTAGACCAATTTCATCCAGACTAGTCAACCACTGTCTCTGTGTGTATTTGTCATTTATTTAACAATGCCAACAGTGTTAAGTAATGAAAGAGCTGGCCACAGTACAGTCTACGCTACTCAAAATTCCGTCAACTGCGATAAATTACTTAGCCTAAAATTTGAATTGAAGTGAACTGATATGATTTTCTTTCTTTAAACTAACCAATACACCGAAAGCGCTGGCGAATTCTTTTTCTACATTGCGCGAGTTTGCGACCTTTAAAAAATGGGTCTTAGCTTAGGTAACCGCACTCATTGAACGAAACAAATAAATACCCGACCGTTGGTAGAACAAGCAGGTAGTGTTTACCGAGGGCCCCACACTGTCAACAACCCGCCTGCACACCTGCATTCCTCCGGCTTTTGACACACCCTTACCCAGAGATATGTGGGGGGACAATAAAGACATCTTTGCTTTTCATTTATTACGTCGTGCCATCTGGCGGCAGGTCTTGTGCCCGGTGTGGACACACTGTCTGGAAGTCGTGTACCATGGACAAGGTCGCAAACTGTTCCTGACACACCTCGTAATTGAAAAATTGGGTTATATATAACGTCTACTTGAGGGTTTTAGAGTGGGATGAACTTCTTGACAGGCAGTTTTATCACGACTTGCCTTCTGTGTGAAGGTATATTGGATAGAAGGCTGTCCCGTACGCCCTTCCTGTATATGTAACGTCTACTCAAGGGCCTTAGAGTGGGATGAACTTTTTGACAGGGAGTTTTATCAGGAGTTCCCTTCTGTGGGAAGGTATATTAGGCCACAGCAAGTAATTTTTGCGGATGACATCAGCGCGCATTGATTTTCGCCTGATTTTGGAAAAAAAATACAGGAAATTCTGTTGCCTTATGACAGTGTTCAACATGCCGAAAATGGGTAAATATGTCTGTTGCCATGCCGGAACTTGGATGACAGATATATGTGAAGAGAGGACACAAGACAAGGCTCTGATTTAATGTTTTGTCTTTTACTTTTACTTTGTTGCAGTGTTGCGTTTCATTCCGTTACATTTTTGATATTGCCGTTGAATTAAAAAATCTTGTCTAACAAGGTTTATGATCTCAAAATTTGAAAATATAGAAATCTTGTTTTTTTGGCCCGCCTTGTGTTTTTTTTTCGCCCTGTCGCATTATGAGTTTGAAGTCTGCGGAGGATGTCATCCATAAAATTTACTTGCTGTCGCCTTAGATAGAAGGCTGTCCCGTACGCCCTTCCTGGGGCTGTAATCTCAAGTAAAGCCCTTTAATGCGTGTAGAACGCCCGGTTTCCCGCACATGCACGCTGCGAACGATGGGGTTTGACTGAGACGGTGAGTCTCTTGACCGCCAGACGTCAATGTCATGTTCAAGCTGCAGGCTTTAACTCCCTATCGCACTGTAACACAAATATCACCGCACAGGCTACCAAACATGTGTGGAAAATCCCCCCGTCTGAACTGAAGTACCTCCTAAGGTCCAAATGACTTCGTAGTTTACATTCTCCGTTGAAACGTTTCAGGGCATGGAACCTAATACCAGCCCAGAAGAGTACAAGAAATAGTCATGCCTTCAAGTACCAGAGTTATCAACCAAGGATTGAGGTGTTCAAGAATTCATTCTTTCCTAGAACTATCGCAGAGTGGAAATCGCTGTCACCGAGTACAGTAGGGGCATTATCATTAGATAGCTTTAAACAATGTTAAGAGATAGATGTTAGGTGTAACAAGTCGTTCGGTGTAATGTAGCTGCGAAGCTGTTGCGTTATGCGGAAGGGTGGTTATACCGGCTATGCAGATACAGAATCTGCAAAGGTGTTTTTTTTTTGTGAAAAAAAAAACTTCATGACTTAAATGAATTGATTGAATAACACAATGCTTACTACAACAGAGGCCTAGTATGTTTCTGTTGTGTAAAATGGCCTAAGAGAATAAAACTTAATTTTAATAACCGGTCGATATTTGTTTTATATTTCATAACTCATTTTATGTACGTTTTAAAAATATATTCAAGAAAAACAGACAAACATGGCATGATTATATTATTAAAACTTTATTGCACGACAATTGCACGTGGTACAAAAATGTATGGCATGTAAAGTAAAAAAAAAAATGTATTGAAAAGGACCAAAAAGTAACGCGTGCAACCACAAAACAGAAACAGAAAATCAGGAACCAATGGTCTATGCCGTTCACAAGGTAACATGATAAGAGCAATGAGAAATGCTATCAGTCACAAAATAACAAAAAGAAGTAACTAACCGGGCTTATTCTGTTTTATTTTTTACAGCATGGATCGGGTCTCTGAACTGGGGAATGTTCTACATGGCCAGTCCTTTCGCCGGTATCTTCGTGGACAAGATCGGCTGCCGCAAAACCGCCTTCCTCGGCGGCATCATCTGCTGTGTCGGCATGATCTCAGGGTCCTTCGTCCCCCGCATAGAGTACCTGTACCTCACCTACGGTCTCATCGTAGGTACCGGGATCGGTCTAGCCTACGTCCCCTCCCTCATCATTCTAGGACACTACTTCAGAAGACACTTGGGCGTCACGAGCGGGATAGTCACCATGGGAAGTAGCGTCTTCACAGCGCTACTCCCCTTCGGTTTAAAACCCGCCCTGCTACATCTGGGTCTACCCAACACGTTCAGGATCATGGGGGGACTGTTCTTCCTGGTGTGTCTGTGCGCTCTCAGCTACCGGCAGGTCCTGCACAGAGACGCCAACCACAACACCACGGACCAGTGCAATAAGACCAGCGCCATGCTGAAGGAGGAGGAGGCGGAGGGAGAGCAGCAGAATCCGCCCAAGAGGAACAAGGTGCACGCCATCCTGACCAAGATCGTCAACGTCCGCATCTGGAAGAACAAGACGTACGTCATGTGGTGTGGAGGTGTCTTCGTGGCGCTTCTCACGTACTTCGTACCGATGGTCTTTTTGGTGAGTACCGGGACTTAAGAACTGTGATGTCTAATGCTTTTGTTATGTCTAAATGCTGAGATCACATTTCCAAACCGTGGTCCGACCGGACAGTCTTATGGAACGAAAAGTATGATATAAAAGACAACAAAACACAGAAAAGTTCTGAATAACAATCATGGGCACCATTTCTGTATATTCTTGATATGAATTGTTAATTTTTCGTTCATACAAACAGCCGGCCGGGCCCCGGTTTGGAAATGTGACCTAAGCATTCGAGTTGTCATGTCTAAAGAGTACTCAAGTTTACCTATGTTTTCTTAGCATTGTTAACAGACATACGGACTTTCTAACCCGCTTGTCTATGAATGTCTATGAAGAGAGTCGAACAAAATACTTGCAGGCCTTCAACGCTTGTAATCCATGAAAAGGGCACAAGTTTATGATCCTCTTTCTACTAAAGAGTACTCAAGTTTAAGTATGTTTTCTTAGCATTGTATACAAGCATAATGGTCTTTTTCGCCCAATTGCCCGAATGTCTATGAAGAGAGCCGAACAGACCATTGGCAGGGTATAACACGTGTAATCTCCTGAAAGGGCACGAGTTCCGAGGCCTGGATCATGGAGTCAATAGACTAAACTGTTGATGAAGTACTCATCCCGGTAAAAGCCTCGAGTAGAACCAAATCTCAGCTTCAAGTCTTACTGAGGGGTACTTCTGTGTGAAGCTGTCACGCAGACGATATTACTTATTAGGCCACACCGACTTAATTTTATGGATGCCATCCGCGCGCGCATGAATTTTCGGCCGTTTCAAAAAAAAAGTTTTCAACCATACTGTAAATCGCCAAAAAACAGTTACTCAAGCAACTTAACTGGATATGATTTTGAAAATGTCAGACGTTTCAGCTAGTATCCACTAGCTTTCGTCAGTGACTGAGAGCTAGTTTTCAAAATCATATCCAGTTGCTTGAGTAACTGTTTTTTGGCATATCGTATTACCTGGATGTCTAACCTTCATCGACGCATACTGTAAATCGTACAAAACAGTTGCAAAATGAGCAAATATATACCGTAAGTTAAAAAAAAACATTGGAAAACGATACCAATGTCAAATAGAATGCCAAAATCAAACGAAAAAACACGAAAATGTAAAGAAATGAATTTGAAGGGCATTTGTTCAACCTTCAAAACTACGTTGATTTCATAATGAAAGAAACTTTTTTTTGGCCACACCTTTTTTTATTCGCATGCTCGGATCAGTTTTGGAGTTCCCAGAGGACGTCATCCATATAATCAAATAAACATGGCCTAATATGTGTCTCACGCCTCGGATTTGCGGCAGACGTTCTCCTGTTAATGAGGGCTCCGTTTTCTGGCGGGGATTTCTAAGGTTAACCTTGGCCATCCTGTCTTTGTGTTTATTCACGTCTGAGGTATTAGGCCGTCTAGGGCGCTCTAAAAAGTTGTTCTTACTTACTGCTCTTTCGTGTGCTGTTATTGGTCAAAACGGCGAGGGCACGTAGCGTAGTGTGACTGTAGGAATCCCCCTCTGCGCGACTGTAGGAGTTACGGGGCTAGTCCAAAGCTTTGGTGGATGATTTTAGGTGGCAGTCTGTTCTCACATACTGTTTTCATTTGTGAGGACGTCGTGTTTTTATAAACATCTGTGGAACCGATCATCGTAATCTACTTGAACCTCTAAAATTTGAGATGGAATTTTACTAGTACATTAAGGCACCCGAAGTAATAATGGCAGTATAACTGGATTTTCAAAGTCAATTTGCTGGTCATTCTTTTAAATCAACCCTGTCCCATAGCATAATGATATCGGTGAGTCAAACATTCGATGTCGCTGACGGAAAGCGGTTGCAGGTTTCGTATCGTAGTTTGGTTCTAGCTATTTATTGGTGGTAGCCCAAAATAAAGGGACTTCCTCATGTAGTTTGCTTGTAGGCTATTTCAAATGAAAAAAATTGATGAGAATGTCAGGCAGATTTCGTAATCCAGAATATTTTTATTATTTTTACGATTTGGCCTGACAGAAACCTTTTTCCACTCTTTTATCTTTATTTCTTTTATTCCAATATTTATCACAAGACATGGTGACGGTACACTCAAGTTTTTTTTTCAATTTATTTTCATGCCGCCACCAATGCAGAGACCAAACGCATGAACGGACAATAAACAATAGACATACATACTCATTTTCACCTGCTTTAAGTGAGGAAAGTCGTGTAAATTTTGAGTGCCTTTCCCCATGGCAAAAGATCGGTTGCATGGCAGAATTCGAACTCGGGACCTCTTGGTTCCGAGCCCAACGCTCTTTTATTGTAGCCTCCACCAGGCCTTTCTACGGGAATACGGATCGTAGAATTCGGCAAAAAAAGACAGTAAAATTGGCCAAGGGAGTTCGGCCGCGGGCAGGTAGTTTCTTTCCCTCCTGCGCGGCCAGTCAAACCTACAAGGTATCACCAGCGTAGTTAGTCTGGTAGAGACTACTTTTATTGCATGTAATCACTAATGACTTCACGTCGGTCTTCCTCCGTAGGTGAAGCACAGCGAGCAGATTTTCCCCAAGGCGGACGCTCACATCCTGGTCACGTGCCTGGGAGCAGCCTCGGGAGTCGGTCGGCTCGTCTTCGGCAAGATTTCGGACCTCCCGAGTATCGGCAGGATACGTCTGCAGCAGGTCGGACTCTTCCTGATGGGTAAGACACAAACCCTGTGTTTGTTTGTTTGTTTGTCTGTCTGTTTATTTGTTTAGGATCTCCATTAGTGTGCACTTTCACACTATTCATCCTGGAGTCCGTAGTGAATCATCAGATTGTAGTATTTGGACCATCGCACGTACTCTTTTTCGAAAGGTGTGGTGGGTTCTTAACGTGCGTGGGAGTCCGATCGATCAAATTAATACAAAATTTGACAACGGAAAATACTAAAATTATACAACAGAAATAACAGAAGACTAACATGAACCTAACTCAAAATTACAGTAATAATCAAAATAATAGAAATAAATTATACAAGGAGTTATACAACAAAATATATATTTGATTGACATAGAAATTAATAACGCAACTCAAAGTCATTGTGGGAGAGGTCAGAGCTAATGAAATATAATAGAAAATCAAAATACAATTTATACTGGAGGTAATGAAACAAGATAGAATTTGATACTAGTAACATATGAGACCAAAGTTGAAATCACTTGACAACTTGACATCCAATCTCCTGTTCCTTTCAGGTGTATCATCACTTCTGGTTCCCCTGTGTTCGGTGTTCCCTGCTCTCATCGTCATGGCGGTCTGCCTAGGACTGTTTGACGGAGCCCTCATGGCCACCCTCGGGCCAGCCTCCATCGACCTGGTGGGCCCCAGGGACGCGTCCCAGGCCCTCGGCTTCACCCTAGGTCTCGCCTGTCTGCCTCTCATGGCAGGAATGCCCATTGCCGGTATGTACATGTATGCCCTCTTCCTGCCTCGTTTAGTGTATCTTGACTGTATGATGATGTATTTATCAAATCTCCAAGCAGATCTTTTGTGGCTACAAAGACAGTATCAAATTGACCAGGCTGTATCCATCTTGACAGGCAGTTAACATTTGCCAACCGAAATTTGGCTGTCGAAAAAGAAGATTTTAGTACAAAAAAGACGCACAGAACACGTCAAAGAAGCCTAAACCTCTGCATGGACATTAGTATTTATCACTTTTTTATATTTATGCTGTTATCAGCAAAGATTCAGCATATTATCTCGCCAGTATTGCTAGTACAGACTAGAGAAGTAACATTTGCAAAGCAAATGCATAATGTTTACCTTCGGACATGGTCTGCCATGTTAATTTTTACTCACACACATTCACATACATGTACTGCTAGTATATGGTGACAGGAACAGAGCAGACCATGAAATTGCAACATTATGTAGCCCAACACCAGTCACCATGGTGACAGACGTCAACAAATCATGTCATTGGCCAGGTCAGAGGTTAGTGTTTGGAACAGAAGAGGAAGAAACTGAGTAAAAACAATATATTTTCCTTCGGTAAACATAAATATGTATTAAAAGCGTTTTCTCTCATGGAGATTGACGACTTGTGTTTTTATTACGTCTCCAGGCCAGATCTATGACATGACCCTGTCCTACAATGGTGCGTACTACTTCGGAGGTGTCCCCCTGATCCTGAGCGCCGTCATCATGCACTTCGTGGCCAGGCGACAGAACGCAGAGGCTGCGGCTGAGTTGGCGGTAAGTATTTGTTTCCTATTTATGGTTAAAGCTAGCCTCTACCAGGCTTCGGAAGGCGACTGGAAAGATGGAGTAGAAATTGGCCAAATAGATAGATAACGTACCGGACAGTTGGTCTACTAGAGAGTGTAGTTGCACCAAACTGTACTCTCAAGCGGGCCAACTCCCCTGGCATGTTATCTCTCAATTTGGCCAATTTCTACTCGATATTTCCAGCCGCCTCCCGAAGCCTGGTAGAGGCTAGGTTAAAGCTGCTGGGCCGGAGACTTTGTACGTGTATGTGTTTGTACGTGTATTTTGTGTGTTGGATGTATCATGTAGCACATATCCACATGCAGTTCTACAAATGGATGACTTGTTACAGTTTGGAACCTCGCAAAACTTTTTTTATCCCTTTGCCAAATAAAAATATAACTGTTCTCCAACTCTAAAAGAATTTGGCTCACTGAAATTCTTGACCGAATCTCTTCATCAGCTATTTGACCCATTGCAAGTGCTGTAGACACGCGATTTTTTTCCGCACGCGTGACGTCACCACTGGGTCAAAGTTCGTTGGAAGTCGGTACCGACCCCCGGCATTTTTTTAAAGTTGGAGAACGGTTAAATGTTCGTTATGTAATTTACCAACTCAGATGAACTTTCATGCTGATCACTTTGCTTGTTAGTATCTAACGTTAATCTGCTTCTTTTTGTTGGTCTGTTTGGTTTGTTTTTGTTTATTGATTATTTATTGTTTATTGCTCTCAACAGATCGAAGCTGATGAGGAGGACGGGAAATTCCTGACCCCCAAGCGGCATCTCCCGAAGCTGAACTCGGCTCTGTCCAACAGCCTGGTGTGGCTGCCACAAGACGACAGGATGGAAGTCGTCGACGTTGTGTCCGTGGTGTGATGTCGTCACGTCACGATGTCGTCACGTCACGTCACGTCAGTCTGTGTCGTCAGTGTCCCTCCAACATGGCCGTTCCCATCCTGCATCGCGCGAACACCATTGCACCGCAATGCAGCATGGGAAGCAGGTCGCCCCTGTTTTCATCTGTTTGGTTTCTAATCGTTACATATCTTGACACTATTTTAGATGGCCATATATAATATATTACACATTTCACAAGGTTCTGTAGAAATGTTGGATTGTAATAGTATATAGTGACTCGTTCAAATTGTATCAAAGTTTCATTTTAACCTGTTTGTTAAACATATCCAACACAAAGTTATATGCTAATGAATGCGATGTCATTCCATCTGTCAAAGGTCTGTGACCTCTTTCTTGAAGGAAAGTCTGATGTAAGCATGAGATTTCTATATTTTTGGAACGTTTCACTTGTGTTCCAATTGATTTTGCCTGTCGGAACAAATTGTTAAGTTTTCGGACCTGGAATCGCTAGAACACATTTGTTTTAAAATGATTTTTGATGAAAAATTGACACCTTTAAATACTAAAAAATGAAATAAAATGTGCACATTCAAACGAAACCTCCTGATTATGACGCCAGGACTGTACAGGTCCTCGTGGTCCAGATTCTGTGACACGAGAAGATTATTGGACAGGTGGAATTCACTCACTTGTGAAGTTTAAATCGTTTTATGATGTTACCATTGTACTAGTGGTAGTCACATTGCTAGACCTGTTTGAATAGCCTCTAACAGGCTTCAGAAGCGGCTAGAAAGTAGCCAGCTGCAGGTATCCAGTCTATCGTGGTTGGGATAGGTCTTCGATCGGGGCTCTAATGTTTTCCCCCGTCCAGTTCAACAGAACGCCCGGTAGGAGTGTTCTGTCTGTAAGAGTTTTGCACGCACGAAGTGATACTCGTCCTGCAAAATCTACCGGGGAACCTTGCTGAGTCGGGCGGGGAAGAGCTTCTGCAGCCCCGAAGAGAACATGCCCCAACCACGATAGACCGGATACTAGGTTACTGGAAATAGTAGACACTGGTAAAATTGCACTCCTTTAGCGGACAAACGTCTCTGTTACGGTATCTGTCTGTTTAGCTAATTTCTAGCCTTACCTGTAACCAGTCACTTCTGAAGCCTGGTAGAGGCTTCTGTTTGAAAACCTATTGACCAAAACTACAGTAATTTGCCAGTTCTAACAAAGTAAGGAACATATGAATATAGATGGGATGTATTGGCACAGATATTTGATGATATTTACATTTGTTCTGTTCCTAAGATGATATGATGTTACTTTGTTTATATATATAATCGTTGTGTAATACGTTTCTGGAGTACACAAACATGTTTAATACGTAGATATGATCTCAGGAGCGGTAACAAGGGTCATTTTGTGGAGGATACAGAGGGACTAAAAATTACTAGTCTCCACCAGGTTTTCCTAGGCGGTTGGGATGGTAGAATTCTGTAAAAATAGGGTCCGACTGGCCAGGAGAGTGGGTACCGTTAGGGTTTCATTTCCCCCTCGTAGGAAGGGCAAATGAACTAAACGTTAATTAACTGCCTTGGCCAATTGTAGAACGATCCTGAAGCCCCACCCACATAGAAATGCAGCCACTCTCTCATTGGTCGAACCAATAATTGCGCTTCTCTCATTGGTTGAACCTCTAATTGTGATGGACAGTCAAAATAGGTCTTTTCTCCCTTTTTGGCTGAATTTTACTGTCTTTGAACCCGTGGTGTTAGCCTGGTGGAGACTAGAAAAATACAACTCTTCAATAACATTGTATATTTGAACTTTTTTCACACTTTTTTTCACCATGGTGCTACATTTCTTGGTGTTCTTACAAAAAAGACACTTTTCTTTAATAGTTTAATTAAGTTATAATGGGGTCTAATTTGGTTAATGAGGAATTTGTGTATATTGATAAAGGTGTTGTTGAGGCCATATGGGGATTGCACTTTTTTGTGACTAAGTAACATACGGTTACTTAGGAACTGTTTATCACATATTAAATGTTTAGAAAATAAAACTATGTAATGTTAACTTTAATTGTCTGGAAACAAAAGTGTTGTTTTATCGAATGTTAATAAGCAATGATCGCCCGGAGCGATATACTAAAGAAACTTGTTGTTTCACTGCCTTCAGTAATAATAAGCCATCGTCATTTTGTAAGAAATACTTGTTTTTAAGTATTCTTGTGCAGATTTTACTTCACTGACGATATGAAGTTTTTTTTTTGTTTCTTATGCACAATTGTTCTATGTGTAAATGTTGATACGATTTATATGAAGAATACAATGTTTTAACTGAAAACATTTGCGTCTTTGTTGGATTCCTACTTCCAGAATTGATTATTTTATAGCCTCCATAGCACGCCAAAAACTGGATGTTTTGGGGGTCTTTGGGAGCTTTTATGTGCTATTTTCTGATTGAATATAGGCAACATAGCCGGCCTGGTTGAATTACCCCCGATAGAACTGGGCTAATCAGAAAACAGCCGAAGACCACCAAACCCCCAGTTCTATAAGCCTGCTACGGAGGCTAATTATTTTACAACTTATGGGGATTGAACCCAATCACTGAACGACATGGCTTAGGGGGTGGTAAAGGTATAATGTTAGAGAAATAATGCCAAAAAATGAGCTAAAACGTCCCAAATGTACATCTCTTTTAAAGACCATCCTCAAAACACACACACACACACACACACACACACACACACAAACACACACACACACACACACACATACACACACACAAATCGGGCATAAAGATATACACAACAAAGCTCTCAAATTCCTTCAATACTTTTTATTTAAAATCTCCCCAGAATATCTGTACCGTATTATGTACATTAGAATTTTCTATCCACCACTATATACACGCCCATCATATTTAGAAAACCTATATAATATTGATATAGCACCATACACACATGAAATTTCGATCGCAACAAGGTTAAAAATTGCACAAACTTGCGACACAAATAAGCACAAAGTATTGTTCTGAATAAAAAAAAGAAAGCACATAAGAACGTGCAACATTGCAGCCTTTTTTGCAATTCTTCAAATCTGTCTTCTCATGAGGTATTCTGAGGTACATTGACAACTCAGTACGTAGTTAGATTTAGATTGACCCTATTCATAAGATGTTATACAGTAAGGCCAAAGTACACCAATTCTAATAAAAAGTTTATTTACACGGATCATAATTAGAAAACGTTTTTACTGAACAGTGCACCATTCCATATTTCTAAAATTGTATAAAAACTATACCGAAGATATCCTGTCATAGATGACTTCATAGTCGTCCCCGGAAGATGTAATAAGCACATATTTGGCATGCTCGCCGTGTCCCTTCTTATTATTATTGTAACCCTTCACTGAGTAGGTTCCGCCGTATTCTTCAATGGAGCTCAGCGGTGTCTTCTCGCTATCTGCCGTCTGCAGGTGCAAAACAAGCACAAAACGTGGAATTACGCATTCGCCTTGGCTCTAGACACTTCTTAAATGGACTTTCAATAACAGCAAGGAGAGAATACTAATACTAATATATAAAACTCGTTCAGAGTACGGCCTGTAGTCATACACATAGTTTTGTCATAGTGTAGTCAAGAATAGACTAGTATTATTGTATTGATTACCTTAGCATTGTTGCATTGTACCCTGTACTGTTGTTGAGCATATCCATAGTCATTCAGGCCCCATTCTCACTAGGATAGAATTGTCCGGATCGGAGCCGGATCGAGCCGGATCAAAGCGAATCTATTAGACTCGATCCGGACAATTTTATCCTATTGGGAATGGGGCCATATAGTTCATTTTACAACACTGCCGAACTCCCTCCAACCGGGTTAGGAGTAGGCCAGGACTCGTGAGTAAGGACGTCTGTGGTTGGCTGGTGGTGAGGTATCAGAATTGAAAAAAAAGAAGAGAAAAGTTACCGTTGTCATGTCCAGTTCTGACTGGTTGTCCTTAGGAATGAGGAATAGTATGCAGGCCCCGAGAATCATGGGACCCCCTGCGAAGAAGTACGTTCCCTGGTAGGACAGCTGTGCGTCATAGATGAACCCTGAAACACACAGAAACGTTCAGCGATTTCAAAAAGGCCATCCACCAGTTGTACATAAGTTAAGCTGTATATATTAAGTTAAGTCATGATCGTGTTGTTTAACCTGTATATAATTTGTGATGGTTATGTATGTTCATACTCTTTTGTTGTCAGTATGTCCATATGTTTTATATGTTTTGAACCCTGGAAGATTAGGACTTCGTGGACTAAAGGGTATCGAAATAAACGAATAAACGAATTTCAGGGCAGCAAAACAAACATAATTGTACAAGTTTAAAGTTAAAACTTTTGTCTAGACACAAAAGATAATTCTCAGCTAGAGATTTCGACCAGTAAATGTGGCCTTCTTCAATAGACTGATTCAGTGAGACTTGTCACGTGTCTTCTGTGAACTGTGATGTCAACACTGGGTCAAAGGTATCCGCCACTATCCGGTAAACAATGTCTGCCCCCGTCACGGTAAAAAAGGCCTCTTTCACTCCTCTCAGGAAGTGATGTTTGCCCAGTGTTGACGTCATACTACAGAGAAGCCACGTGACGAGTCTCACTGGGTCAGTCTATTCAAGAAGACCAGAGTGAAACAAAAGTTTTAACTTCAAACATATAACTACCAACACAGATGGACTTTCATGCAGTAAAGCACTGTACAAGTAGTGCCTTCAGTCATGAAGACCACACACACACACACACACACACACACACACACAGAGAGAGAGAGAGAGAGAGAGAGAGAGAGAGAGAGACAGACACACAGACAGACACACAGACAGACAGACAGACACACACAGACACTAACACACACTAACACCCCAAAATTACCTCCGTACCCGGACGTAACAAGTTTTAAAGTCTTACATACCGTGGCCGACAAGTACACGCCTGCGTCGCCTGCACAAACACCCTGACGCAGGCGTGTACCTTTAGGCCACAGTACTTACCAGCTAGCGGCATGCCGATGATTAGCGGAATGGCGCAGACCCCGTAGTTGAAGCCGATGGCCTGTGACGCGTCCCTCCGCCCGAACATGTCGTACACGATGGCGCCTATCAGGCTGATGTACGCCCCGTCAAAGAAACCGATGACGACAGTAAGGGTAGCGAGTGCCGCAAAATGGGTGGCGACGGGAACTAACGTGCTGCAGAGTCCTGCCAAGAGTTGGGCATGGGATTGATTAGATTTAGGTGGCAAGATGGTCTTCTTGATGACTCATAATCTGAATATTCTGAGTTCCAATCCCTGGCGCCAGGCTCCGCTGTCGTGGCACTGGGAAAGGCAGTTCTACATCTATTTCCCCACTTCACTCATGTGAAAATAAGTATACCTCGCTTCGATTACGTCCTCTCGGATAGGACGTAAAGAAAGAGGTTTCGTTGTACTCTTTACGTAGCATGTTTTGGACCATTTTAAACATTTAAGTATGAAATGATGACGAAAAAATTTGCGTGCTAAGAAATGCCACTAAATTTCAGTAACGGTCAGATTTCTCTCTTGCATTGGATGCGCACGCTTTTAATACAAAGGACCAAAAGTTGTGCGCAGAGAAAGGGCAATGTGTTCAAATAAAAGCGAGGGCTGTATTAACAGCGAACTGGGATGAACACAGTCCCTTTACTGAGCACAGCTCCTTCGCTGAACAAAGAAGTTCGCTGTTGAATACAACCCTTTCGCTGTTGAAAATAGCCCCTTCGCTGAGAACACCTGTTGTGCCTGTTCATTCTTTTAAAACAAAGGCAGTGGAGTACTAGTACCTGACACGAAGAAGGCCATCTGATGTAGTCTGACTCTCCTGACGGTGGGGAAGTCTCCGATCCTCCCCCAGAACATGCGGCCGGCCCAGGAGGACGCCCCGATACACGTCACCAGCACCTCGTGGTTGTATGTCGGCAGGATCAGGGACGCATGCTTCACCTGGCGGGAAACAGACAAGATATATCACTTGACACTGTAAGGATTTTGGACACTGATCAAGTCTATTTTCTGAGAGGAGTGAAGGAGGTTATATACATCAGGTCCCATCACCCTTCACCGAACCGCGACGGGGGCCGACATCGTCTACCAGATACCTTTGACTCAGCGTTGACGTCACACTTCAAAGAAGCCACGTGAAAGTGGGTCAGTCTACTGAGGAAGACCAGAGTGATTGGTCGAAAGCTCTAGATGCGAGAACTTTTTGTGTTGGATCTAAAGTTTTAACTGTAAACAAGATATGTTTAAAGTTAAAACTTTTGATCGAACACAAAGTACGTTCTCACCCAGAGCTTTCGACCAGTCACTCTGGTCTTCCTC